CAAACGTTTGGTGGCAACGCCCGAAAACGTGCTGTGTGCAGAATATGCTATGGATGGTTGGTCCTGCGTTTTGCCACATGTCTGCGGTACACAACGTCTCCCCTGAACGCTTCAGGCTCGCGCGTTTTGACAGCTTTGTGCAGTAAACATATATTGCTGCAATCACCGTTGCCTCGTTCGTGAGTCATTTGTAATGTCTTGTCTCAGATATGATCGTGGGTTTTTTTCGTCCGAGGATAACTTGGGTAACGACGTTTTTCATTTTCTGCGGCCGTTCCAAGGCACTTTCATTATAACCGAATACCTGATCACATCATCGCAGATGGGACATCACCACTGCATCACTGGTATAGATAGCGCATGAGACGGAAGCATTTGCTTGGCATGCATCGGGCCCGAAAGCGTTTGGTCACAAAATGTATGTGTGACTAAGAACTGTCTGGAACGGACAGACAATTAGCGGCACGTATTTATCGGACGTATCGAGTTGATAAAGTTTGTGCGCAGTTGGCCATTATTGAAGCATGCTATTGATATTGGGTCTCGCGGGTTTGCTGTGCTCTCGGAAGCATTCAGCTGACGTTCGTACCGAGCGGTGTTGTACTTGCCTCCTGATGCCGCGGTGCCGGCGTACCCAGGTGACGCCGTCACGTGACGTGTGTCGCCGTCCACAGTCAGACGCTACGGAGGACTTCTACGTGAAGCCGCTGGACGCGCACAATCTGCTTCGACCAGAGACGGTCGAGTCGCTCTGGTACCTGTACCACCTGACTGGCAACAAGACGTACCAGGACTGGGGCTGGAACATCTTCCAGGTGCGCCGCCGGCTCAGCCGAACGAGCCGGCTGCTTCCCAGTCGCGTGTGGTTCTATGGTGTAAAATTGCGGCGACCATTTGTATGTGGTATGTTTGGTGGTGAGTAGGAAGTGGTTGAGACGTAGGAGTTAACTGCGTGTGTCTCCGGTAAGTCTAGATCAAAGGAGACGAAGTGATGTTCCGTTTTCTGAGTCGGGCCTCTGGCGGTAGATGCTTGCTCACGCTCGATGGCGGGAAAGCTCGGCTAAGTCTAGCCGGAATATGCCTCAGCACGCGCCCGCACCTGTCACCGAACGGATGGTGTGCTAAGGAGAGGGTGTGCTGGGGTGGTTAGCCGGCTGGGTGTACTGCGCCATCGGCTGCGCGCTCTGACGGCTACGTCCCGCCGCTGCAGGCTTTTGAGAAGTATACCAAGGTGCCAACCGGGGGCTACACCAGCATCGGCAATGTGCTCGACCCGGACAACCTGAGCCCGCGCGACTCGATGGAGTCGTTCTTCCTGGGTGAGACGCTCAAGTACCTATATCTCCTCTTCTCCGACGACCAGCGCACGCTCAACCTCAACGACTTCGTCTTCAACACGGAGGCGCACCCGCTGCCGGTGCTGCGCCGGCCGCCAGTGCCGGCGCGGGCGCCGGTGCCGCGGCCGGTCGTGCGGCCCGGACACGACTACATCTGAGGCCACGCCACGGTTCTGAGGCCGCGCGACCCGGCCTGTCTGCCTCAGGTCGGCCGCCCCGCCGGCGGGACAGCCTCGTGCCCGCTCGGCAGGCGGCCCATTCGCACTGTGATATGAAATGAAGCACCGGCTCCTCTCGCGACGCGCGGCGCGTGCGCGCGCGGTGCCGCCCTCCTGGGCGGGCGTGAGGCTCGGCGTGCGCCGCGTCCACGACGCTGCCGTTGCTGAGTGTCGTGCACGTAAATTATGCGCGACGCAGGTGCCGCGCCGCGTGTCGATAATGAAAGCGTGGCGTGTATGGACGCGTTCGGACCCGCCCACGACGCGTTCGCGTTTTATATTGTTGCGATCGCTCGTGCCGGGGGGCTGGTGTGGGAATTCCGCGTGCGCGTGCGTTTGCTTGCACCGGCCGGGCGCCCAAAGCGCCGCCTTAGATCTGCTCACCGTCGGCTCCCAGTCACTGCCGGGGCGTCGCACGCCGCCGCCCGGCGCGGTCGCGCGCCCAACCGGTCGGATCTGTCGCCTCATCGGGGTTGTTCTGTGGATTTGAACACGTGACATACAGATATTGTGCGGGGCAATGTGTCTCTGCGGCGGCGCCAGGCGGCGATGGCCAGCGGAAGACGTCTCTGCACAGAACGCGACCCGTCCTAGCGATCGAGCCTGCTGTTTTTGAGGCGGCTCTCGGTCGTGCTCGCTCTGCGGTCGGTCGGCGGTCGAAGTGTTCAGCAGGACAGATGCCTGTCGGGTGTTGGGCGTGCTCGTTAGCGGCGCTCGACTCCGTGACACTAGGGCTGAACCGGAACGCCGGTGCGTCCGCTGCCGTGCGCACGTGCAGGTCGATATCAAGCTCGATTCTGCTGCTGGGACAGCTGAGCTCGCTCGTGCTCTGTCGGCCAGTACACATGGCCCTCTAATTCCGGAACAGGCTGGCGCTCGTTATCACCCGCCCGCCCAGCCGCCAGGCCTGCGCTGTACAGCTGGCTAGTCTGCGCCGCGGATCTGCTGCGGCTGCGGCGGATCAGGCGCGGCGCGCGCATCCCCTGGTGTCCGAGATGGCCGCGGCGACGCAGCGTGTGTGGACAGAGACTCTTGGAGACGGCCCGCCTCGGTCCTGGCGTGGCCGGGTCTGCCGACTGTCCCGCTTGTGGTGCCACGCGGGCGTGCTCTGATGGAGCGGGCCGCTGTGCGCCGGCGCCGGGCGGCCCCCGTCGTCAGCACGGACCGTGAGGTGGGGGGGGGGGGGGGGGGGCGGACCGGGAGTCTCGTGCGGTCCGCGGGCCATCCCGCCTTACCCCGCCCCGCCTTCGCCGGGCGGCAGTCAGAGCTGGACGGCAGGGCTGAGGACTGATATGACATCGGCCCGCATGGCTCAGGAACGCTCCGGCTGGCTCAGTGAGGCCGCTGGGCTTCTCGGGCAGCCGTAGTTGTAATTGGACGCGGCTGCCGTTCGCCGCGGTCGGACCCGTGTAGATCCGGCAGGCGTCTCACGGTTACACGTATTAAAACACCCGCCTCGAAGAACCGGCTGCCAGCGACACTTCCCAGCTGATATTCGACTCGAGTGTTCGACGAGTGGGGCACGGTTTGCGCGATCGTTTTAATGCGCTGGCAGATTCGGAATTGAAATCCCTGAGCGGCGAGGCAGTCAGTAAGAGGGCATTTATTAATGGCGAATGAGGGTCCTCTTGCTCGACCCGAACGAAAAGCAGCTTTGAGAGGCCGAGGAGGTTACTAACATACATATTTTGATGTAAAATAAAGTGCTGGGCAAATTGCTTTGAACACATATTTTGGCATGCAAACTCCAATTTCTGTCATGCACCAGCGCTCCATTTTTGAAATACATCCTCAAACGTGCGAAATCACTTAAGCTTCCCGTACGTTTTATAGAGGCGTTGCCATCCAAGCCAATTAGCTCCGGTCCACCCGCAGGCGCACAACGGACATCCGGACACACCAATACTCTGAGCGTCGCGCTGCTGCCGGCGAAGGCCGCACCGCCATTCTGAGGTCCACCGCCCACGGCTGTCCCGCGTCAGGTGCATTTCGCCTGAAAACAAACGCCCTCTCATTTGGCACGCGACATCGGCCTCGGCAGCGGCAGGACTCGTCTCGCGTCACGTAACAACGTCGCCACTTTCGAACGGAACATCAGCGCTCGGTCCTCCGACTTCCACTCGGGCACGCGCCACCGCGCGAGTTGACGCCGGATGCAGACTAGCTGGAGCTCAAGCTCCCCCGCACGCCGGGCACAGATCGGTAGCTGATGGCAACGGCGCGGCGCCACGCACCGCTCCGCTCCCTGGAGAAGTCATAACCGGACAGCCTCAGCTTGACAGGGATCCCCGCGAATCCAGCGCCCGCCAGTCACAACAGCGCAATGGCACTGGACGTCTAACACGATGATAAGCGTATCGTTGAACAAGACGACTACCGCGGGCATGCTCTCACTCGACACTTTCGTGGAAACTCGGCAAGATAATACCCTAACTCTGTGTATGAAAACAGCACAAGTCAGACTGGGCAGTGAGGCGTTGCGTTCCCAACGCCGATGGACTGAACACAAATGACGCGAGCATTGATTCTGCCGCGGAACTTCGTAGTTTCTGCGCTGTACAGAGATCAGATTCGCAGCAGAACGTTCGTGCTGCTACTACCAGGAGACCACGGTTCTAATCTATCCCACGGGTCACAGGCTGTGTTGGCTATAAATATTGAGCTTCGTATCATATGATTATCGAGTACTGTGTCATCGCTATCAGGCTGCCGTCTGTTTCCTCCGCGTGAACCGTCCGTTTGCCGTCGTTTTTGTCCGGCTCCGCAGTATCAGCCACGACAGCTAGACTGCCGGGACCTGCGCAGTCCTTGGACACGGTGTCACTTGCCGGGACCCAAGCGATACATAGTCTTAGCTACCCGAGCCACAGAAGTAGCTATCCTGTGCCTTCTGACCCGAAAGTCCACGGCTTTGAGCCTTCCGGCGCACGACAGCCCGCAGCTCCACGCTGCGGTCACCGCCTTCTCTGAACGACGACGCCGCATCCGCTCGCTCCACGGGAGCACGCGGCGTAGCTTTTCGTTTTTCGGAGGCGGCGTTGCTCTGATGCCTCTAGAAGTCTGCGCCAGCACAATCATCACGCGGGAATGTCAGCATGACCACTTCTTCTCGAGCGTGGAACAGGCGATGCTTTCGTCAAGGAGTTTGATCACAAACTCGCTGGCTTCTCAGGAGCCTGGGCGGAGGATAACCGGCCTCCTCAGGGCACGGAGCAGAGGCAGACGCCACCTTTGGAGTCCAGGCAGGTTACGGGTCTCCCCGGGAGCCGCTGTCCACTCTAGACGTTCTCGGGAGCCGGAACCGGAACCGGGATTGAAGCCTTCCCAGAAGCCGTTGTCCGGTCTGGAAGCCCCCTTGGGAGCCATGGCCGAGCCCGTTCCTCTTCAGGAGCCGGTCCCAGAAGTCTACAGTCTCCTCAGGAGCCGCGGCCGAGTCTGTCCCCCCTCAGGAGCCCTGGCTGAGGCCGGCATGGCCGTGGAGGCTGGACTGGCCGGGCGACTGGCAGTGCCACCAGAGCCGCTCGCGCCCACTGCCGCCCTGCGCCGCGCCGCCGCCTGGCGCGGCCGGGCCGAGCGGCGGCCGTCATGCCGGCCCGGCCGACTCCAGCCGCTCCAGCTGCTCCAGCCGCTCCAGGCTGCGCCGGTCCACCAGGCGTGGACCGAGCCTCCCGGCAGGCCCGCCACGGAGCCGCTCCAGCGACGGATGCAGGCTGGCCATCTCAGGGGCCTCCTCGGCCGCTGCGGGCACACGGGCGCGTGTCAGGGTCGGACAACTGACGCCGACATGCAGCGCTGAAGGTGGGAGTGAGCCGCTGCAGCGCGGCGAGTGCGACCGAGAGTACGCATGGGTAGCGACAGCCAAATCGATTATCCGCCATCGTGAACGGCCGAAATGAGTAAGCGTTCCGTCCCACCTCGCCGCGGCACGACGTTGCTCTAGACGCTCGCGCGCGGTGTGCGTCGCCAGCGGCGGCGTGGCCGGTGGGTTCGGTGGCGTGAGGCGGACAGTTATCGGTCCCGGATAGCCTTTGCCGTATGTCAGAGCAGCCGTGGGATGGTGGCATGAACAACTGGCGCCACAGGGCTAGTCGCCCCAAATGCATGGAGCCATGTCAAACCAATAATTCAATACTTGAAATATAGTCAGAAAAATAAAAACCCAAGAAATGCAACATAGTAGCTGAAGAATTAAGCCTAGTACAAAGGTTGATTGATCAAATCTAATTAATTCAATTTCTAGGTTAATCTGAGTAAAAGATTTACTTGACAGTACAGAGCGTTGCTCGCGAAATCATTGAAAGGGTATGGGAGTTGAACATGCAAATTTGGAGGCACCCTTGATGGAGGTCGATGTGCGTGGCTGCGTAGCTGCGCCATACTGCCCCTGCCGGTCCGGAATACCGAGTTTTCATTTGCCCTTTTACCCTTTTTTGTTTCATCTTGTATCCTCACGGCAGTCCTGCTTCGTCCCGGGGAGGAAGCGTGCACCAGCCGTGAGTGGACCGGGAGGTACCCTGGTGGGGGTCTCCGTCCGAGTGCCAGGCACACATCCCGCAGTGGGGTCCCTGTGCGGGCGACATTTCGGCAGCTGGGTCCCCGGGCGCATGTATTCTGCCCTACCGTTATCCATTGCCCTTCATCCCAGAGCTCTGAAATGGTTATTACTGGCCGAATGGGCCTTGATCAAAAAGGCAAATAATCAGACCGAGGTTTAGCTGCAGCTTAGGTTTAACGCCCGCTTTTGGAGGAGAAATCTGGCCAACCAGCACCGGGCCTGGTGAAGTGGCGGCATTTTCAGTCAGCCACATCCAATGCCTTAATCGCTGACATGACAATCATCAGTGATCACCAAACTTCAAACCCGACGAACGAGCCATGCCGCTTATCGGCAAACCATACGCCAGTGCAATCATCCCCTGAGTACAGTTGTCTGTACAGAATTGTTTGAACTCGACTCCAACTACTGTGTCAGTTGCTTTGCGGTCGTCAGTTTCGGACTCGATCACCGGAGGTTGCGAGGTTTTTTGGGGGGGGGGGGAGGGGGCTCCAATCCGACCAGCAGCCTTGGGAGTCAGGAGAGCGTGCACATTTGACCCGCGGTGCCGCTATCTGCCCGCACGGCGCCTGGGACGGCGCCAATCGTCAACCTGACCGCAGCCTGCACGACACCTTCGCGCAGAACACCCTCTTCCGCAGCTGGTGCGCCAATACAAACAGTAATCCTAGCAGTCATCCGATCAGCGGTCTGACGAGTCCTGGCCACTGTAGCCAGATCTCACTGCTCTGATTGCCCAGCACTCGCAAGTAAAACGCACCGTTTAGAATACTGTGCGCAGGTTGGGAAACGGAGCGGGACGGAGCGAGAAAATCGACTATAGGGGAGCTCAGAGGGCTCGGGCACTCGAATATTCACGAAAATCCAACACTTAGCGTGCGGCAGTGCATAGAAATCGCAGATCGAATGTCACAACGCTCTCCCCGAATCCTGTGCAAGCCCCGCATCCGTGACTGCGAGTCTAGGGCGGTTTATACATCCTGTCGAAGCTGCTCCTGTTTAAACATTCCAAAACACGACATTTCAGCAGGGATTTACGTCTTTCACAACGTCCCGTGAAAAGGAGCCCAAGGGACACCATCGCCACTTCGACGGGTGCGGCGCCAAACTTCGGAAGAGATGAAGACATGAGCAAAGAGAGAGGCGAAGGGGGCATCGCCTTCTCCCGGCTCGACGAATAAGCCCCCGTTCCCTGGGCGGCCCAAGGCTCTCACCTAGTTCCGCGAAGGTATGAGTGACTTTCGAAAAGTTGATGTAACAAAAAGGAACACGCTGTTAACAGAGGTTTTAAAAACAACGGCCATAGATCGGTCAGCAGGCGATTTAAAATGAACCCCCGTGGGTAAAACGGATTATATCCTTAACACGCGCTCGGATGGCCGGTTGGATACCCTTCGCTCGGGTGGGAGGTCGGTTGCCCCCCCCCCCCCCCTCCCCTAAGATCTTAGGAACTAAGAGAGCTGGAGACGCGAAATTCACGGGGTGTTGGCCTAGGTGAACTCACTCGGTCAAGTTTCTAAGGTTTTCAAGGTCATGATCTTAAGATCAAATAGTTACGCAAGGTCAATCTTCAGGTTTGTCTCCAAGTTAAGGTCAGTGATCTTGCTTGATCTTTTGGCAGGTCATGGTGATCAAAATCAATGAAGACTTCTCTGAGTTCGTTATTTGAATAAGCGACAAAGACCACGTCAGGCAGTATGTTTCTAAAAACGAAGGTTGACTTGGGTTATTTTAGGTCGGTACCTATTCTGACCTTTAAGAAGTTAGTGAAAACTGTATAATGCGGTTTCTTGTCACCAATAAATTTGAAATGAGCACCAGAAACTACCCAATATAGCAATCCCTAGAGTATTAAAACAGGTTGGTTTGAACCTTGATCTGATCTTCATCCCTGGCCCTAGGTCAGTGGAATTTCGTCATTAAATTGTTGCGTTGCCTAAGAAGTATCTCCGAGGTGTACAGCTTCGTCTAACACGTCGTTGCTGCATAAGGTCGAACGATTCTCTCTAAATTGACTTCACTGAACCCATGGCCTGACTTTCACCTGCCGTAGGTCAGCGGCCTTACAAGGTACAACCAGTGTTTCATACCAAACGATCCGCTATTCAATTGTCTATAGCTATGCAAAATTTGGCGTGGCTATGCCGCGCCGTTCGGTAACCATTCCGGAAAAACCTCTGGGGGGGGGGGTCAACTTGATCCGCACCCGAGTGCGTGTTAAGAAAGCCAAGTTGAGAGCCTTGAGCGGAACCGTGGGGTCCCAGGTTGCGGGGCCCCTGACACATTTTTGCCCCCCCCCCCCTCCCTCCCCTCTCTGGCGAAACCCTGACTGAGCGCCGGGAAGAGAGTTGGAACACCGCGACTCGTATGCAGCACATAGGAAGTACGGCCATACCAAAAACAACACGAAACAAACGAAACAATGAAAAGAAGTGAAGTGGGTAAAACAAAATAGCACCGGCCGCCGTGTATTCACCACTTTATTAAAACGAAGATCAATCAAGTACCCGCGCACGTCAAGCGACAACAACACTATTATAAATGAATGAAATCTACACATAATACACATCAGTGCACAGATCTCGTTGATAGCGCACATCCAGGCGACTCCGCATCATGCATTACAACACGTATGAAAATAAATCATCGAAGAATTACGTACCGGCCCTGACAGCGGCACCACACCAAAGAATGCGGTACCACCATGTCAGCGACAAATGTGAGTCATTCCCTTCATGTTGGCATTTGTTTACAAACGATCAAGGTACTTCGTGGACAATACAACGCACATAATTGTAGGCATCTCCATGTAGTCTCTCCACACTCACCAGGCCTTATCGCGTCATCCTTCGTCACCGCCACTCACGTGTGTCACCAAACGGTCGGTCCAACAGCATGTTGAAAGCATCCCACGGATTCACCACCGGACTGTTCTACGTGGTTCTCGTAAAACGCATGGACTGCGGCAGATTATAACCGGTCGGACATTTGGAAACAGCTACAGCTTAGGACTGCTTTTTCAATGGAAGCAAGTTTGTTCTCCAAAACGGGCTAAAAAAGGAACTCCGGGGAGCACTTGTGGACTGTCCACTCCAGCAAATGCGTCGAGCAGAGGCAAGATCGCCTTAGCACTTTTTGCTTCAGCCAGCGGCAACGGCTTAAGACTACGGCCTGACGTACTGCGGAAATGCTGATACCGCCACAGCGTACTGGGCTGCTATATGGCTCATGTTGAATCTCTGCATATACATTGCTGGCGGGAAGAAACAGCGCTCAAAAATGCTGTCCTGGATCAAGAGGAAGTGCCGCAGCTCTCCACGTGCCTAACAAGAACGGAACTGATGGGCCCAGTCTCTCCACATCATTCCCGGATCGTCTCTTCCCACATTGAGAACCACCCAGATTTTGGGCGGCTGGGTTTCCGTGGCAAGTGCCAGGCAGGCAACCATGTCGGCGGCTGTCCACAAACCAACCACGGCAATGTACCGTAAATATGCCGATAGGCGTCCAGCTTCGCATGCGCCCGCACGGACAGAGCAGTGCGACGGTCCGGCTCCGCGCCCCGGTCCGCCCGCACGGGGCGGCACATCAGGGGCGTCGCCGCCAACGGGTCCGCGTCGCCGCGCGGTGCCAGCTTCCGGGCCGACTGTCGTTTGCGGCGGGGTGCAGGACGGGAGCGAAACAGATGTGAATCCTGTCACGAGACATCGCGGGTTCCTTTGCTCGCATCCCTTGTCACGACTTCGTATCTCCTGACACGGCATCGTATCTAACGTCTAGTCTAACGCTAACGCCTATGTAGTCCAGTCTGATCCGCTGCCGTCCGCCACTCCACAACATTGCTTCCGAGTGCCGGCGGGAAGTCCAGGACGCTACCGATCCTACGCACACAAACTCAGAATGTACTGTGCTATCGGAGACAATCCACGGAGACAGACCAGACCGAGATCTTATCGCTACACCGTTCCCCACAAAACCACTCGAAAGACGGTGGAATGGATGATGTTAATTCAATGATATTGCGAAGGAATGCTAACTTCCATGCGTTGCTCAAGCTAGGATGGGTAGATTGTACTTATCACCAATGACGTGGAGGCCTAACTTACAAAGGGGTCTAAAATTTTATATATGCGAACCCTTAGGTCAATTTTTCCAATTTTTTTTCAATTTTTCGTTGTTGATTTTTTTTCCCCAAAAAATTCCAATTTTTTCCATTCAGTCAATAAGGCCAACAAAAAAAGGCTCAACTTACACCTCTATGGTCTGAAAAAAATGGGAAGAAATGCAGCCTGGGAAAAAATTGTTGCAAACCCATAAAATGATTCTTAGACCATGACATTTTCCTCTAAATACGTGCTTATCTCATGCATCACAAAACCTTTGGGGAAGCTCCGTCACCATATGCCTAGAAGTAGTGACGCGGCGGCGGATACGCGCGAACAAGTGTGACATTCGATTGAACAGCATACCTGAGCGCACTCCCCGCCGCAGGCGATCTCATTGATCAGATCGTGTCGTGTTACGATGAGAAACTGTTGCAGTGGTGTAATGACGTTATGCTCATCCCTAAACAGATATCAAATAGAAAAAAACTGTCGAGCTACGTCATCGCACCGCGACCATGTATGTCCATACATCCTGCACCCGAGAGCCCAAGATGTGGCTTATGTGACCACGTGAGATGAACGCGATTTTTCCTCAGATGTCTGTCTGACGTTCTGGGCGTTATAGTATTCAATTTTTCGACGGAAAAAAGTCGGTGATCGACATAGAGGCTGATAATATTTTGATATATATTCAGAACTGAACATACAGCTATCCACGAGTTACTGGTACTCGGGTTCAGACACTGGCCAGGTTTAGACTGACGCACAAAATGTGATAAGCAGAGCCCAGACGATTCCAGCAATGACACGCGAACTGACTTTAGAACTTATCAGATGGTAAACCGTTAAGCCGTGTAACCCGTGTCATCTGCGCTCTCGGACAAAAATATGCACGGACTACGGGAACGTTTTGACTCAAATCTACATATTGCAAAAGTCCACCTGAGGGCACGCAGTCGTCCATGTAGCAAATGAGTCTTCTGTGTCTGCGCGTTACAAAAACATGTTCAGCGGATGTGCAATTTCAACGTGATCGCCCCCGTCCCCCCAGTCCGTGTCCAGTCGTCCAGTTCAGTTCAGTCGTCCAGTACCGCCAGGACTGACTGCGCTGCATCCGACCGGAAGCCCAGCACTTCCTGAGGTCCGACGTCTTCGACGCCGACCCCCGACCAACAGAGCCGCCGTTCCGTTGGTAGCAAAGACGGCCACACGGGCCAGCCACAACGCCTTCAGACGAGCTGGGACGGGCAGCCGGGCACCGCAGGCGCGCAGCACGCATGAGGCGGCACACTCAGGCCGTGATTGGCAGGGAGACAGAGCGGAATGGCATGCAACCAGACGTTCGTGTGTGGAAGCTACCTTGACACGGCCAGGAAGGTAGTTTTCAGGCAGCGTCAACCACCCCGAGCAGCCACGTTTCTGGGCTGGCGCATTCGGACTACTTGGCTGGAGACTCGGACGGGGGAAGGCATGCAGACGGGAGTAAACTGCAGACTTGGGCTTCGGCGGCCAGCGTTGGACCAACAGCCGCATCGGAGTGAGATGCGGGAGACCTCCCAGGCACACTGGCGGGCTGCGACTGCATGCGACACCGACACCTCGAGGACACCGGCCGGGCGGACAGAGCCGCGATCCGGCGAGTCTAGTAACAACAGCCAGGCGGCAGCCGGTCAGGAGGACACAGCCGGCTTACATGGTGCGATGTACCGAGCTCCGATCATGGGCAGCTCGTCATAGACCACAGCGTGCGAGCCATTGCCGACACTCCTGCAATACGGGGAGGCCGTCAGGCGCGCGGTGACGTCACGGCGCACGGTGACGTCACAGCCGACACTGACGTCACAGCCGACACCAGACACTGGCACAGCGCTCTCCCCGGGATGCGTCGCATATGGCGCGGGCGGCGAGGCCGCTAGAGACGCGAGCTCGACTGATAGGCGCCATTGTCGGCGCCAATCTCCGCGCCGTACGGGGGCGGCGGCCTGAAACAAACCGAGGGAAACTAGAGGTAGGCCGGCGAAACACAGCCGAATTAAGTACGGCACGGGCGCAGATACTCACCCGTAGCCGGGCTCTTCGAGAATGGGCTCAGTTCCACTGGGCAGCCTGAACAGTGCAAGAGGTGGTCAAACATGGTGCTAGAGTTCGCGGACATTTTGCTGTGAGGATTAAGGGCTTGAACGGCGTGATCAGCTGAGCTCAACATTAAAACCTGGGTGAAAGACACCACGAAAAATTGCATATGACAAAATCGCTCGTCTCTTTACACGTTCGCTCTAAAACACATCAGGACTCATGTATGAAACACCTTTACAACTACAGAACCACTCTTACAAACACGCTACACGCTATAGAAACACTCTTATAACAGGGTATGGCTGCTATCCTTTATGCGATTTGAGAAATGGCTGAAATGTCACCGGACCTCGGCCTTCACGGGAATAATCTTTGCGAATAATCTTGACCCACCTCAAAGTGCATTCCCTACTATCAGGAACATGCCATATATAATATACGAAGCGCACAGTACTTACGACTGAGCTTGGCGGAAAAGCGCGGCTATTTCCTCGAAAGTCTTGCCCTTGGTCTCTGGCACACGCTTGAAGGTAAAGCCCCAGAAGATGGCCAAGAGCAGCGAGAATGGCAGGAATGTGTAGTCTTCGAGAAGGTTCTGTGGAGGTGAAATCGGAGTTTGCATTATGGTTCGGGATGAAACGTGTAACACGAATTCATCATCACTCGAATTCATCATTCGGTAAGAAGCTCGCCGAACGGTTTACAGTCCGGTGAAAGACATGCAAACGTTGTTTGAGAGCGTCTGTTGTGATGTGACAAGACGCTTTGTTTTCGTTTGGGTTCGCCTTTTTCGTTAGTTTTGATCCGCAGCAAAATGGAGCCCTTTGAACCAACTGGATAAGAAAATAGTCATATTTATCATACATAGTTAAATACAACTGTCACGCACGAATCGAAGGAAAACAGCTAATATAGGCCGTTGACCTAGGTGACCTGGACAACAAGACTCACGTGTCCACAGTAACATTAAGAGACCAATCATTCCTCTCCCACCTGATACAACGTCACCATTTATACAAATGCAAGTGTCACTGTGCCACAACTATCAAAGTTCGAGGTAACATCAGTCCGCAAGTTATCAGCTACGTCCCAGCTTGGTGGACTGACAACATCTGTAACCGGAAGATCCGATACAGCTGATGCGCGACGAAAGAACGCAAACTATTGCGGAGCTAGACGGGCAACGTTGTTACGTTGCGTGTAGGGGCAAAGCTCTCTGTCACATGTGTATCACATAGTGCAAGCGCAACACCCAGTTTGTTAGGGGCAAATCGACAAGAACCTGTGGACGGACCGTTACACAGAGCGACGGCCGACCGCGGGCCGTCTCCGGCGCCTGTTTACCTCCCCTCCGCCAGCTGTGGTACGCTATCAGCGCAGGTGCGGGCGGCGGACCGATACGGTCAATATCTCCCGGCATTCTTCTCACACGGCCATTTACCAGGTCCAGCTCGGAGACGTGCGGTTATCGCTCAGTCAATGTACCCAATTGCACCCGATATTGCCCCCGATGTCATCAATCCTCCCCCCCCTCACCCCCTCCCCACACACACCTACTCAGCCGGCGCTGGTGCTGGCACTGGTCGAACAATCCACGCCACGTGCCATGACTTTGCGCAGGTTACGTGAAAGCCCCGGATCGATCCACGCCCATTACGCCTATTTACCTATCGTTACGACCGCCGTGCCAGGACATTTTTGGCAGCAGTTGCTCTGTCCGCACATACATATGCAAGGCGTCCGGAAAAAAATGGTCTGGGCACAATGGCGATCTTCCCGGCGCACGCACGCGCAACCAGCCGTGCCCGATTAAGGGATAACCACGATTCTGCGGCAGTACAGGCGACGTACGGCGCGCCGAAGAACAGCATGCATTTATCATGCCCGAAGCCTATTCGCCAGCCTCGCTAGGCATCGACCGAGTTGGCACGTCAGCCTGTTCGGCGCGCACCCCGTCGGAGTCGGCACCCCTTACCCTGCGGCCGGTGCGCACCCCGTCGGAGTCGGCACCCCTTTCCCAGCGGCCGGCACGCACCCCGTTAGAGTCGGCACCCCTTACCCTGCGGCCGGTGCGCACCCCGTCGGAGTCGCACCCCCTTTCCCTGCGGCCGGCACGCACCCCGTTGGAGTCGGCATCCCTTTCCCTGCGGCCGGCCACGCACCCCGTTGGAGTCGGCAATCCCTTACCCTGCGGCCGGCACGCACCCCGTTGGAGTCGGCCACCCCTTACCCTGCGGCCGGCGCGCACCCCGTCGGAGTCGGCATCCCTTACCCTGCGGCCGGTGCGCACCCCGTCGGAGTCGGCATCCTTACCCTGCGGGCCGGTGCGCACCCCGTTGGAGTCGGCATCCCTTACCCTGCTGCCGGCACACCAAACCCCCGCGCCGGTGCGCACCCCGTCGGAGTCGGCAACCCCTTACCCTGCGGCCGGTGCGCACCCCGTTGGAGTCGGCACCCCTTACCCTGCGGCCGGCACGCACCCCGTCGGAGTCGGCATCCCTTACCCTGCGGCCGGTGCGCACCCCGTCGGAGTCGGCATCCCTTACCCTGCGGCCGGTGCGCACCCCGTTGGAGTCGGCATCCCTTACCCTGCTGCCGGCACACCAAACCCCGCGGCCGGTGCGCACCCCGTCGGAGTCGGCACCCCTTACCCTGCGGCCGGTGCGCACCCCGTTGGAGTCGGCACCCCTTACCCTGCGGTCGGCACGCACCCCGTCGGAGTCGGCACCCCTTACCCTGCTGCCGGCACGCCAAACCCCGCGGCCGGCGCGCACCCTGTCGGAGTCGCCCCCCACCCCCACCCAGCGGCCGGCGATTGCACCTTGCCTGAGTCGGCTCTCCTCATCCCATGACCGGCACGCACTCTGTCCTAGTCGGCTCCCTCGTCCCGCGGCCGGCGCGCACCCTATTGCAGTCGGCTTCCCCTGACCCTGCGGCCGGCGCGCCACACATCGATCCCACCAGTCACCTTCATCGGCAGGAAGGCGATGCCGACGATGAAGTTGCAGAGCCAGTTGATGAGCACGGCGATACTCATGGCAGCCGGTCGCGGTCCTGACAAACGGAGCGAGTGTCAAAAGTGGGGCGCCACACTCCCGGGCAATACGATTAAGCGCAAGCCAGAGGGAGGTTACCGACCATTTCAACAACAAACACTGAGGAAGCTCACTACAGCATTATCCTGTACACTTCGTCCGGTCCGGGGCGGATAGTACAACTTGGCCCGTCAAGAGCAGGGTGGCGACGGTGGCACCAAGTTGAAGCGTGCCTGCGCCAAGGTCGCCGCGCCTCGTCGAGCGTCATCAGCCGCTGCCGACGGTGGTCCGAGCGGTTATCTAACGGGTCCCGGCCACCTGCTCTGCCGGTCGAGCGGTCGCCCCGCGTCATACTAATCCCCGATGGTGCAGCGCATGCAGCGTAATACAACCACGTCGGCCGGGGAGCCGATCCGGTCGGCGGCTGGCGAGGCAGGCGGCGCACCCGCCGACCCGCCGGACCCGGCCGCGCCGCTGACCGATTCAGCTGGCTGGCTGGACGCGTCCATCCGACACCGGGTTTCGGCAGGGGGGATGATAGGGAGGGGGGGGGGGGGTGGATCCAGCACGCTGACCCAGCCTTTGATTCTGGCATGTGGCCTGCCTCCCTTTCTGTTCCTGCGGCCTGCCTCCCTTTCTGTTCCTGCGGCCTGCCTCCCTTTCTGTTCCTGTGGCCTGTCTCCCTTTCTGTTCCTGTGGCGCGCCTCCCTTCCTGTTCCTGTGGCCAGCTCCCCCCCCTTCTATCCCTGTGACCAGCCTCCATCCCTGTCCCTGTGGCCAGCTTTCTCCCTGTCCCCGTGGCCAGCTTCCAACTTTGCTCCTGTGACCAGCCTCCCTCCCTTGTACCTGTGGCCAGCCACGATCCCTGTCTCTGTGGCCAGCCTCCATTCTTGTCCCTGCGTCGGCCGAAGTCGGCACGCACCCGGACCCCGCGGCGGGTTGCGATCCACGCATGGTCCTCCGACGGCACGGTCTGATCTCAAAAGGTTCAGTCTGGGATTCCGGCTCCCGTCAGCCCATACCGCGATGGAGTATCGGGCCTGCAGGCGGAGGAACGGGGTGTCCCCGATTCCCGACTGCGACTCACCTTGTGAGAACAGCTCGGCCGTGATCATCCACGGGATGGAGCCGGGCCCGACGGCGAAGAACACGACGAAGCCGAACGTGCAGATGACCGCTAGGTAGGAGACCCACGAGATCATCTGCTTCACCAGGAACGAGATGGTGATGAAGACGGAGAAGAAGAACATGCCGCCGAGGCCCCACAGGTGGAGCGTGCGCCGGCCCTCGCGCTCGATCAGGAGGATGGAGACGACGGTCATCAGGACCATGACGACGCCCACGCCCATGGTGGCGTAGCTGGCACCCTGCGCCGACAGGTGCGCGTCGACGAAGATGTCCGTCGAGTAGTAGAACACCTGCAGCACGGGCAGCACATAGTTAGAGAAGAAGTAGCATGCGGAGCGGTACCCCCGTGACGCCGGGGTGCATCTGGCCCCCGTCTCGCCCCAGACCACGCACCGCGTTGATGCCACTGAGCTGCTGCGACAGCTGCATCACGATGGCGATGATGAGGGGACTGCGCAGCGCCGGCGACTTGACCAGCTGCAGCATGGTGAAGCGCGCTTCCGCCTGCTGCGCCCGCTCCTCCGTCTTCATCTCCTCCACGTCGTCCTCGATGTTGTTGCAGTGACGCAGCTGACGCAGCGCTGCGGGAGACGGCCGGAGCATGACAGGAAGCCCGACGCTGACCGCGCGGGGCGGGGCCACAGCACGGCGGGACAGCGCAGCGCTGTGGGAGACGGCCGGAGCATGACAGGGAGCCCGACGCTGACCGCGCGAGACGGGGCCACAGCACGGCGGGACAGCGCAGCGCTGTGGGAGACGGCCGGAGCATGACAGGGAGCCCGACGCTGACCGCGCGAGACGGGGCCACAGCACGGCGGGACAGCGCAGCGCTGTGGGAGACGGCCGGAGCATGACAGGGAGCCCGACGCTGACCGCGCGAGACGGGGCCACAGCACGGCGGGACAGCGCAGCGCTGTGGGAGACGGCAGGAGCATGACAGGGAGCCCGACGCTGACCGCGCGAGACGGGGCCACAGCACGGCGGGACAGCGCAGCGCTGCACGCGCGGCGGCAGGTCACAGCTGGGCAGAAAAGCATCACAAACGAACGCGACACCTGGCGAATGACGAGCGAGAGTATCTAGGTCGATCGTATCTAGAACTAAACATGTCCGGTGCAGCGAAGGGTGACCGGTCCGGCGAACCTGGCTGATGTCAGTCAGCATAGGCGAGAGAGTTTCACGAGGGCACAATCCCGGAGACATGGCAGCATTTCTGTCGGCGTGAGCAGAGAGCACATCGCTCCACCTGGCTTCCGCCGACTGACCTTTGCGTGCCTCCTGCTCCTTCTGTTTGGTGATGAGCAGGTAGCGCGGCGACTCGGGACACATGGGGAGCAGCACCAGCTGCAGCGCCGACGGGCAGACGGCCAGCCCTGCGGCAGCGGCGCCCGTCACACCCACGCTCAGCTGTTAACATGCGGACACCGCCGGCAGCGGCGACACTGAGGCGCGTGCGGGCCGCAAGCCGCTCCCCGTGGTGGCAGCACAGGGATCCACCTCAGGGTAGGGCTGGCGAGTGGCTTCAGTTGTTCCCAACATGTTTCCCGTGTTTGCATCAGCAGCGCTAATTTCACCACATCCGATGAGAGAATTCATATTTAACTCCCAGTGCACCATAAGAGAGGCGGCTACAGTTCATGCCAAAGGGCGCCGGGGGAGGGAGGGGGAAGGGGGACACCGCGAGCGAATCACGCTGCGTTCCACGACCCCAACATACCGATCAGGTCTCGACGCGACAGGGCCTCTGGAGCCACGCCCGGACTGTACTGTCGCCGGAAATAGATGCAATTTCAGCACGACGGACCAGGCTCGTGCATTAAATGCAGCTCGCCAAACTTGCTGGACCGGTCGACACACTGCGGGCCATCGAGCGGTCCGTATACTTGTGCCAATCACAGCTGTGTCTATTTAGTTTCATTTCGGTGTCCAAATGTCAAGTCGTGGTCAAGTGAGCTCAGGTCAATCCGGTCAAGTGAGATCAACATCTATCGGGTCGCCATCTGGTTTCCGTTGTCTGAGTCCCGTATGTTATGTTGTGCTGCTCTGCTTGCTTCTATAATGGTTTCACATGTTAATGGCTGTCATCTTTAATTTGGTTTTTGGTACCAGATGCGTGATTATTATCATTAGTATTATTATCATTGCGAACCTTGGCGAAATTCAACCGGTGGCTTTTCTAACGCGGCGTCAGTATATGCTACATAGATCAATACATAACACGCAACACGTGCAAATGAGACGCAACACCAGCGATACACATACGACGTTATAAAACATGAGCGACTTGTGATACAATCAGCACCTGCACGTCATTGCCAGTTGGTCAATTTAGGTAAGCTCTCTGATGAAAGGCATTGCTTTACCCTTGAGCTCATTTACGTCTCCCCTCTTCTACTCTATCACTATCTGACCTAGTCTGTTCGTCTCCTCCGGTTTCATTTTATTTGGTTTTATTTAATTTGGCCTGTTCTGGTCTGATGTAACCCGTTTATTTCGACCTGTTCTGGTCTGATGTAACCCGTTTATTCCGACCTGGTCTGGTCTGATGTAACCCGTTTATTCCGACCTGGTCTGGTCTCATGCAACCCGTTTACTCCGACATGGTCTGGTCTCATCTATTCTTTGAGTTTTTTTACTCTGGTGTATTCTTGTCTGGACTGGGGTGGTTCGGTTTGGTCCAGCCTGGCCCTGGTACTGCTCTGGTTTGGTCTGCAACACACAACTCGACCGACCCTCCACATGGGTGGTCAGGCAACGCGCGCCCCGGTCACGTCCGACCCTCGGGATAACGTAAACGGTGGCATGCAGAATCCCACACGGAAAAATAAACCGGTTGAATACAATATTCCGCCGCCAATTGGACAGATGAATACGCAAGCGTGCGCGTGCGCGACTGCTCACTGGCCTGCAGAGCAGGCCCTCACGGCCGCAGGTTCGCGGCGGCCGGCGCCGCGCCACCCCGCCTCCGCCGCGCCACCCCGCCTCCGCCACCCCCGCGGCACCGAGCGGCGCCGATATTGCGGCCCGGCCAGCGGGCAATAAGGCTCCCCGGCGGCGTGCCTGGCGTACCGAGGGTCAACCATCCCCGCCTATCGTCCCGCAAGGCAGCGCGGCTGGCGCGTGCCGGCACGGGTGTGGAGGAGGCCACGTGCACAGCCAGACCAGACCGGCCAGATGGAGCCGTCTAGGCGGCCGGCGGCCGACGCCCATTCTCCCACGGAGAGCGCGGAGGTCAGAGGACCTGCCCTGCAGCCAGTGCTCCGATGTCAGGCGCCACATGTACGAGCGCGAGCCACTATCTGTGGTGCTGACAGGAACGCAGCCCCAACACAGGGTCCGCAAGGCGCCGGCACGAGGTCAGGACAGGGTCCGTACGCTGTCAGCACAGGTCCGGAAGAGACGAGTATGGTGAAGGTATGGGCTCAGCAGTCAGCATGGTGCCGGCACAGGGTCCGTACGGGACCGGCGCGAGTAACGTCGGCACGGGCCTCCAGCGTCCATCGATGACAGACGCGAAGTCGGCACCAGATCAGCCTGAGATCGGATCGACTTCCACATAGGATCAGCACAGGAGAGCTTCTCACGACCGGCACGGGGGTTTGGCACAGGACTAATGCAGGGTCTGTGTGGGACCGACGCGAGCGGGATCGGATCCGTGAGAGATGGAACCTGTATGGTGCCTGCACGGCATAGGTGCACGATCAGTTTCGTATCGTTGTGGGTTCGGCGTGATTTCAGTCCGGGTTGACAGTCCGCCGCGTGACAGCGCACAGGGTGGGGGGGGGGAGGGGGAGGGGGCACTGACGGTCGCTGACTGGCAGCGCTGGGGCACACGCGCACGCGATAGCAGGCTCAAGTGCGCCGATGAGTGGGGCAAAACTTGGACTGGATCTGACACCGCAGACTAACGCCGCCTGGCAACCGTGGCCGGGCGATACCGTCGGCGGCGCACTCACCTAGCAGCAGGGGCCAGCCGTCGTCCGTGCCAAGCAGCTGAGTCAGACCGAGCACCTGCAACGACGGCCGTTCAGACCAGCCATCGAGCCGACACGTGCGGGACATTGGCACTGGCCGGTGAGCCATACACACACAAACTCGACAGTCATTCGAGCCGTCAGTCAGCGCTCTTCAAAAGAGGACGCGGCAGCCATCGAGTCTGCGTCTCAGGCGCTGACAGACGGCACTTCGACATAACCGTCGGCTGGTTCGGAGCGGTCAAAATCACCCGACCTCTCGCCTCTGTCAGCCGGTCCCAGGCGCGATCGATCGAGTTCGAGAGGGGTCGATGCTGACCGCCCCGCCGATGGCCGCCGCCGCCCGCCCCTCAGCCGGCGGCAGCGTCAGTGTCGGTGTCGGCATCGGCGCGGCGTCGGCGTCGGCGTCGGTGTCGGTTGTCGGTGTCGGTGTCGGTGTCGGTTTCGGTGTCGGTTTCGGTTGTCGGTTGTCGGTGTCGGTGTCGGTGTCGGTGTCGGTATCGGTTTCGGTATCAGTGTCAGTATCGGTGTCTGTGTCGCAGCCAGTGTTAATATTGGTGGCGGTGGCGGTGGCGGTGGCGGTGGCGGTGGCGGTGTCAGCGTCAGTGACAGCATCAGTGTCAGTGTCTGAGTCAGTGCCAGTGTCAGTGTCAGTCAGCGTCAGTACCTGAGACAGCAGGAGGCCGATGGTGACCGCCAGCTGGTTGACGATGCCGACGCCGCCGCGCAGGTTCACCGGCGCTATCTCCGACACGTACATGGGCACCAGCGACGTGCTCAGGCCTGGGGGAGGGGGCGGACGCGTTAGTCCAGCGCACGGACTTGGCGAGAGTCAACACTCGAGACAAAGCGGCGCAGCGGACAATGGCTGTCGGTGCGCCCCGGGCCGCGGTCATGGTGTCCGACTGGGACCGTTCCCCGCCGCCGGCGGAGAGGGTCGCGGCGCCGTGTCGTCAGCAGCGGCGTCGGCGTTGCGCGAACGCACGCGCTATCGACAAAGCCCGACGCTCGTCCCACTGACGACAGACGTGGCCGCCGTCAATACTTCGGGCTGAAGACAGAGTCGTCCGAGAGCGCCGCAGCCTGGGAGTTCCTGCACCTGACTCGCGCATGGGATAACCGCGAGCGGGGTTTACATAACACACACATTTTAGCGACCATAACCTTGCGGGCGTTTTGTAATTCTGGCGTTGTCAGAACTAGCTTCACGGACTATAACGTTCATATTAGTGCCTCCGCATACTGCAGGGACCAGCATGAACATACCAAGCGCAGCCGCACCCCACATTCCAGGACTCCGTCTGTTCTGTAACCAAAACCCCCGACTCGTCTGTAAGCAGCGCTCTCGGATGCGCACAGAAGTGCCCTGGACCTTGACGTATGGACACATTCCTTTCCAAGTGCGCCATTGCACATCTAATCTTAGCGTCGGCTCGGCTTTGGCCTCCGCGGCTCGCGCGCTCCGCCCTACTGACCGCAGTTGTAGCCGATCACAAGTCGGCCGATGATGAGCATCTCGAACGACGAGGAGAGGTGGCTGAGTCCCATCAGGCCGGCGCCCACAATGCCGACGAGGTCGTTCAGCAGCAGGCCGCCCTTCCTGGAAGCAGCAGCACTCGTCGGTACGGCGCGACGTGCCCGACGTCGCGGAAGGCGCCCGGGTAGAGCTTCCGCTGCTCCTAGCCCGGAGATCGGGACATGACAACGCCGACCGGCACATGCTGACTGTCTGATCCTGCTGTAGAACGTGGTGCACGAACCGTGCCAGTCCGCGCACGCCTGCATTTCGCTGTCCACCCAGCGTATTTAACTGATGACGCCATTCAAGGCGATGTAATAATTTGATCATAGGAAAAAGGTCAATAAATAATCATACCACGGTCGATGGCACAGATGTCTGGCCGGCTGCCGCTGTCGATACCGCCTGTACAGATCTCCCTCGCGGGTGAGGAGGCGAGCAAGCGTGATCTTAATGACCGCGGTGGGACGACGAAAAGGTCACCAACACCTAAATCCGTACTCAATTAAGCGCGAAAAGGTCAACGATGGCTTCAGCTCGTCTCGAATTAAGCGGAAGCGTTATGGAGTGTTTATGAAAATGTTCACATCACAGCGCGGCGCACGGTTCTAACGGGGGGGGGGGGGGGGAGGCATGTCTGCTGCAGGAGGCCCGGCGGAGCAGCTGCCACTCGCCATGCACATGCACTCTACAATAACAGCACTATCTCCGTCCCTTTCCGTGCCACAAGGCCATGTTCGAACCCTGCACGGGCAGGAGCGTAGTTCACTACAAGCGTTCGCTTGCACATACACTGAAGGGTATGTTATTACCGCTGTATGCACGTATGTACATGCACGTCACACCCCGCATTGAAACGGGCGCTCCGGCCGCGGCCGGCGTGGCCTGTATCCCAGCTCCCAGCAGCCGGTCGATCCGTCAGGCGCCCTGGACTAACCCGCCCTCCCCCACCCCGCCCCGCCCCCTGCCAGCAATACACGCCCATACCACGACAGTAAGAGCGGCAGAAAAAGAGCAGGACAGCCCGTGTCAGGAGATGTCTTCGGGGAGAACTGCGCTGACCGATCATCCTTTACCACCAAAGATGTGGTATTTTTAAATCATTTGGAACTGCATTTGAATTTTAGGTATGGGAGGGAATGCTACACAATTTATGGGGTTTTGAACCGAACTAGCCATCTTGAAGATTATCCGGCGCAGTTCACAGTCCCCCATTCTTAAGCACCTAAACCCCTCTAATTTCTCAGCTAAATGCCCACAAAGATGAAAAAAGGTATTTCGCGGAGACTTTTTCAATGTCACCCAGGCATCCATGGAGCCGTCATGACGTCATTCAAATCCTGCTCTTCCGTGGCCATTCGGCGATTAAGACCAAGATATGTATAATTGTTCAGTCGTCTTTATCTGGCGTTCGTAAGAACAATTTCCAGATAAAACGGCCGCGTCAACTGGCTCTCAATCCATGTTGTGCAATGTACGATTACGTAATCAAACAAGGCTGTACTGAAGAGCATATTTACTTAACAGAAAGATGGCGTTGTTTAGAGCAGTCTTTTTCACTTCAAAATATACCAATAATTATAATTAAGCCTATTTCATCATATCTGTTGCTTGTTTAAAAATCATCAAATGTGGAGCATTCCCTTTTCAACATCACGGCACCCGCAGACCCGGTGTAAAAGCCGCGGCTCCAGGGGGCGGATGGGTAAGGCCTCCAGTCTCAGAAGATCTCCAGTCTCGGCCGTTCCGCCCATGCGTCAGGCGTGGGCGTCCCGCCAGACCGTCAGGAGGTCGGGCCATGTGGGACATGGGGGCAGGGGACGAGGAGCATTCCGCGTCGCTCTCGACGCACGAGTCGCCGTCGTCGGCGCATCCCACGGCCGGCAGCCTGTCCTCTGAGCGGCCGGCCCGCTTGTGGGAGGAGGGGGGGGGCGGGGGGGGGCGGGGGGGGGGGGGGGGGGGCACCGGTCGTCAGGGCCCGACACCTGCCCGGATGTCCTGCCGCAACCAGCCGGGTAAGTGACGGGCGCGGCTGTTGTGACAACCTTCAGAGCGCGAGGTTACCCCGGACAGCCTCGGATGCCGGCGTCTCGTGCACCGCCGCGGTGACGGCGAGCGGATTACGTAACCGTTATATAACCGACCAGCCCTTTACCGGCCGCCGGCGGGCATCGGCGGCCAACCACGGAGCCGGCCGCCGGTGTCAGTCGCAAAAACAAGATATGCTCTTCTGAGGAATGCCACCGGCGTGAAGGCCAAACAGGACGAACAAGGACAGCCCCGCCCCCACTGGATCCGCTAGAGTAAAATGCAGCAATGCGGCGGCTCTTCTGGCAACGTCGGAGGGATGGCCAAAACTTGTGAAAGTCAGCCAGCCAACCCCATCTGACCCGTCAGCGTGATGCGATCGGACAGCTCCAAATGGTCCGGCAGCGTGATACGATCAGCCAGCCCCAACTGGTCCATCAGTGTCATACAATAGACCAGCTCCAACTGGACCCTCAGCGTGATACGATCAGCCAGCCCCAACTGGTCCATCAGTGTCATACAATCGGCCAGCCCCAACTGGTCCGTCAGTGTGATGCGATCGGCCAACCCCTACTAGTCCATCAGCGTGATGCGATCGGCCAGCCCCAATTGGTCCATCAACGTGATGCAATTGGTCAGCCCCAACTGGTCCATCAGCGTGATGGGATCAGCCAGTACGCTAACTTAAGATTAACCAGGGAGACCTCTACAGACCATCTAACCAAAATGTCAAGATGCTGACAAAATGTGATGTCCAGATCCTGTACCCAAAATGCCTGAGCCCGATCCCTTATTTTTGCGGCATGACTGCGACAATATTCCGCAAGTAAGCACTGGCGGGATGCCTGCCCCAATGTGCAGAGAATGCCTACGCTAGGGATGTCGGGGTTGTGTTCACAAACAAACGCTTAGTTGCCATCATGTGTGACACGTGCCTGCACGGTCCTAGTAGGTCATATTGATGACACGGATTTGTTTTGCTCTAAAAGCAATCGAGGCGGACTTCCACACACGCTACACAACCTGATTTCGCTCCAGTGACATGATCCTCCACTGTTCGCTGGAGGTAACCACCAGTCACGTCAGTATTATTTCCTTAAACACGAGTTCTGGTAACGTTGGTTTAGACATATGTACATCAAGAAGTGCATAAAGGATGTGTTTTCTTTTGGAAATTAGCTGCGCAGCATCGTATAAAACAAGCTGGAGTGTGGGCTAGTGCCCGATGACGATGAAGGTAACGACGATGAGAAAATAGCACCATCTTACATTTTCCACAAAATACTCATATTTACATATGTACTTCATCAAGCATATATTTTGATATTTACATAGTACATTGCATCTAACTTTCAATGTCGTAGCAGCAAAACAAAAGGGGAGTGAAGGCAGCAATATCATGTGATTTGTGTAATGCGTTCTTTAATTGTTTATATATATATATATATATATATATATATATATATATATATATGGGTAATGGGTTAAATCACCTGAGAAGCGAAGCACATATCTTTACCCCCGAACAGAACAACGCAACCCGAGGTGATTTAGCTGATTACACTAGAGCGATGTTCTGTAACTGCGCAGATAATTCCTTTAGTGAATACATCTGTTTCTTTATACAAGCATCAGAACAATTCCGTTCCCTTCATGAGACTAAGATGTCCAGGGGTGCAGGCCTGTCATGAGCAGCCCAACCTGTGGTACACATTTCATGGAGGTTCTCTCGAACAGCTGCCGGCTATTTCCAGTCCAATGGCTGGGTAAAGGCACGTGAGCCGCCAGTCAAACGCTTACTTCGCCGTGTGCTTCGGGAGAGAAAGCTGTTCTCCAAGCATTCGGTGGCGAGGGTCGCACCTAGGGTCTTGATAAGGGGGAGGGTAAGCAATCAAAAAGCAATGTGCAATATTTCCCCCTGATGCTGACAGCCCAGCCCCCCCCCCCCCCCCCAGGCACTGAATATGGCCCGTTTAATTTCTAGAGCACAATTTTCCCCGTTTTGTTTCTATTTTTACCTTATTTAACTAGGACGGATTATTAGGACGAATTACATAGGACGAATTCACAGCACGGATTACGTATAAGCACCTCGAACTGAACGGATTAGCATTTACAGCACCGCGAATTAATACTGGATCTGGTGCTGAAACTGCAAGACTAAAGGTAAGATCACTATTATTTGTGTTGCCTTAGCTGCTTATCTGCTCGGATGACGGTCTTCAAAACTATACTGGCAAAATATATGCTGCAATCTAACATTTGACTGATGCCAATTATTTTGGAAGACTTTCAGAGACATTATTTCACGGCGGCCGTTTTGGCGCGCCCACGTGCGCCCGCCTGGTGTTATCTGAACTGGTGTTATCTGAAGAACTGGTGTTATCTGAACTGGTGCCTGGTGTTATCTGAAGCAGCCGGCGCCGTTCGGTTCCACGGAAACAGCAACCCCGACCATTGCTGTTCTTGCTCCTAAGGTAGCAAACACGCAGGCCCAAAACGTGGTGTGTCATTGGTTTCACTAGCCAATTCTGCGAAAGGACAAACGTGCTAAGGCAAAAACGGGTTGGCCTTTGTTTCTGAGACAATATCGATCCACTCTATTGACACAAATGCGACCCACTGCCAGTTACGGGCAAGGGGCTCGTGAAATGAGCACCAGGGGTACATAATCGGTTTAGGCCAAAGGCTGAGATGTCATTCCGTCCCAGCGCGGGGTGCCTATCGGCTGCCATTCTGGCAACACGTAGGGATCCCAAAGTCGATCCGGAGGCCCTTGGGTGATAGATACATCATACAATGGTTCCCCTCGCTGACGCGGGAGGCCCTTTGACCTGGACAGTTAGTCCCAAACCATGCAGGGGCTCTCATTGACGCAAAAATATATGCAAGGGGTTAAATAATCGCCCAGATACTCCAGTTCGGTTCAACGGCCCTCCACTGAACTGGGGTGTGCGGCTCCACGTTGGGTATCGGGCCTGCGACTGACACAGGAACCTTTCGTTGTCTTCTTGTGCACTCTCGGCATAAGTTCTCATGTGCCATTCGTTGCCAAAGCGTTGTGACCAACGCAAGAGGCCCTTTGGGCATTCGAGGTCCCGTCCCTGTCCCTGTTCAGAAAATTATCCCCTGGCCGACTCGGGGGCCCCTGCCGACGCATGCACCCTGTTAAAACGCTACGAGCCCCCTGGCCGGCACCGCGACCTCTCATTACTTCACGGTTCCTGACCAATGTAAATTGTGGGCTTGGCCTCAGTCCCTGCTTGGCAAGTAAGTCCATCGGCTCAACCCGACATGACACAGATTGCTTGGTGTTGGCGATTTCTGGTCAACATGAGGGCTTGTATTTCCCCAGGGGGTCCCCGAGCGGTGCAAGAGGCCATCTGTCTGACACTTATTCCCAGCCCTGGAGGCCGGGTCTTTAAGGTGACCCACGGCCAGGAATTCAGACCTCCGGTCCTCCAATAGGGCCTTAGCCTCTAACCTACTGCGGGCCCCTTGCCTACCCAAGGCCCCTCGTCAGGCATTGTGGACCCCTCGCTGACACAGGGGGAGGGGGCCTCACTGACCCAGCATCCCAGCCCAATGTAAATTGTGAGCTCAAGTCTTGTCCCTACTTTGGACATGGGCTCTTAGGCTAGACCGGTGTGGGGCCGACCGTTCAGTGCTGGAGGCGCCTGACCGCGATATAGAGGCCCTCATGGACCCAGAAGCTCCAAAGCAGGGCAAAGGGGGCTTCTAATCTGATTCTAATCTGATAAGGGGTATCGGCCCTGCGGGCCGAGACCCCTTAATACGACCTCCTTCCGGCCCTTGGGGCCTTTAATCGTGGCTCCGAGGAGCCTCGACGGACCACCGGGACCTACGGAGGGGAGGGGGCAGGTGCCCCTTATCTGCACCACTGTCTGGTGTTGACCATTACAAGATGCTACTGCTAATTGTGGGGTTTTCAGATTGTCGGCCATTGTTCGAGACCCCCGTGGTAAATAAGTTTCCCAGTCGGGATCTAAGAATTACGAGTGACTTTAATCCTGCTGGGGGAGACCTGCCAGTCTTGATCGGGCCGTAGTGCGTACTGACCTGCCGAACCGGTTGGCAATGTAGGCCCCTGAGAAGCCGCCGACCATGCCCCCGATGGCGAATATGGACACGGCCACCGACCACACGAAGTCGAGCGTCGAGCTCTGTATCGTCGTGCCATACCGGGTAAGCCACACGTTCTTTATGAAATCCTCGATGATCTGAAACGCACGCGACGGCCGATTCCATCACGCGGCCAGCAGCCCGACACGACAGGAGCACAATGTGACGCACCAGCACGGAAAGAACGCGCGACGAGCTGCGCAGGGTGACATCCCGGGACCCATCTCGGAAAACAGCGAGAACATGGCAATCTTCAGTTGGTCCGCACCAAGAGAGGACCAGAGCACTGGTCCGCTCATGTCACCTCAGCATGACGTGCAGTTTTCTGGGACGGGACAGCTTAAGCTGCTGCGTGCCGACCACAGACTGCTTATCCGACATGCACAACATTCCTGTTTGCTCATCAGTTAGTCTTTAGCGGCAGGCCTCGTCGGCGAATAATGGTGCATGCAAACGGCCTGCATTTTCGGTGTGCAGAACCCGGCACACGGGTATCAATTGGCGTTTACCATCATCCTCGACCCAAGATAGTTATCAGCCGTTCCTATTTTTTGCGGCGCGCTCGCCGGGCTGCCGCCGACGAAGGAATTTCCCCGAGGTCATGACTGTGCAGCCCCGGCGCAGCGCCCAAAATGCTGCCTATCGTGACCCCACAGCCCGATGGCGCAGTCACGTGACCTGCGAGGTCACCTGACCGCGGCAGGCCCCCCTCTCACTCACGTGCTGAGGGGCGTTGATGACGCCGGTGTTGTAGCCGAACTGGAACATGCCCAGCACGGCCGAGAAAATGGCCGACACCAGGAACAGCGTCAGGCCCTGTGGAAAAGACAGCATGTAAGTAGACCGTGCCTGTCATAAGATACCAAAACTAGTCGGTCCGGCTTCGATGCATGTCGGTCATCTGGTGTTTTTGGCCCCAGGACGCGTCGCCACAAATATGTACACATAAATGTGGTGCGACCAAAATTGTTATTCTCAGTAAGCGAGGTAACTTGAACATGATGCCATCTCAGAGCCGAAATATAAGTGGCCCTATCCGACAAACATTCGTCAAAATTAGAGAACCGATGCCGCGTGTCGCATGTCGAGATGGCGAACCCGCGACCGAAGGGTTTTTTCAACACGTAACACAGAGCGCCTTTCTTTTGATTTCTTTTGTGCTCAGGCCTCACCCCGGTCACCACCACTAATAACAATCCACCCGCCCATGTACGCTTTCTCTGCCGATACAGCAGTCCAAGTATTGCACTCAGACTGGGGCCAGACTCAGACCAGACAGCGGTCTGCTGAACGGGCCGGAAGACCTAGCGAACACCAGGCGCATGCGCGCCTCCTTAGGCCCTTAGCGCTGATGTTGCTGGCAAACTGGCGCGCGTACAAATACGGCGTATCCCCACATATTTGCGAATACATATAACCTAGTCTAATACAAATGACGCTTATTCGTTATGATATCATATAAAATGAGATGAAGTACGTTGTGGCGCGTGAAGATGTCATATATCGCATGTCAAGTGTAGTAATGACATAGGAGGACTTCAGCCCTGCCCGTAACTTTTGCTGCATCCCCGTCCAGCTTTGAGAAGAAAGCACGCCAAACCCGGGGAAGTCAATTTATTGGCGCATTTGGAGGGGAGGGTTTCGCCATTGCTCACTGTTAGGTCCACCTACCTCATTCTGCGAAACTACGCGCGCTACCCCAGACCTATGCTTCAGGCAACATAGAGCGGGTCAAAGGTGCTGACCTTGGGGTGAGGTTTTCATTGGACTGGGTGGGTACTTCGCATCAGGACACACAAGCGGGATACACAAACATGCATGGCATCTAATGCAATAGAGCATATATTTCGACGACATTTCCACGCAAACGCCGCTACGCATTACGATCTCAGTGTCACCTTTATGACGCGCTTGTAGTTCTCATCAAGCCAGATATATTGCCATTTATAATTGCGCTCTTCTACATCACCACCCTTTTGTTCAGTTTGGTTGCTCAGTTTGCCCAGTTTGGCCAATAACACGAACAATTCAATTTCTCAGCTTAAGACCTTTCTTTCTCATGGCGAGACAAGACCGACCATTGGAAGCAAGAAGACGCGCGTGTCCATGGCGCCGCTTCCACAGACGCCAGGATTTCGAAACAAGGACAGCATTTGTGGCGAACTTCAAATGGTTCTGCACACGTCCAGCTGTGTGCAGAACAGCTGGGGTGGGCCCGCCGCTGCCGACGGGCGGGGTTGTCTGTACAGTAGTGTATGCGGGTGCTGGTGCTGCAGGTGCTGGTCCACACGCCGAAGACACTTCTTGATCGAAGCTATCGTGCGTGAAAAGGTATCGCCGATACCGACTGCTTGACGCAGCGTTTACTCAAGAGGTCGGGATTGACAGTTATCGGGGCACTGATCTATTGCTTCTGCTGCAACGACATCCGCACGGCAGCAGTGGTATCATGACGCCCCAGATAACCTTTCTGCAAGGTTGGTATGCACCGTGTTACCTTGGATCTCACCTTGAGGTGTCTGATAAACAATGCACTGCGTTTTTAATGGAGTGGCCTGAAAACCACCACAAAACTTTCTTCGCAGCCCATGCATACCATCTGGGAGATAATGTAATAAATACACTTAATGCTGTTATTGTTACTGTAACTGGTTTCTAGTTCGGGAAAGTACAAATCGCATGCATGCATGAAACAAACTATGCTGGGAGGATGGAACGCAATATTTCATGATACCCAGAAATGCAGAAACTTTAAACACTATCAGATGTTGCTTCTTAGTTCTCTGTCGTGGTCACTGAAACGTGTTAGTGCAATGCATTTAAGGTTAACCATTGTTACAGAATAACCCTGCAATGCGATTGTGTACATCGTGCTTGTGGATAGGTATTTACATCCTCACTATGCTCGGTGCTTTTACATTTTTTGCTCTCACTCCCCAGGACGCAAAATCTGAGTTCAAGCATCGCTGGGAAATTTCGATTGGCCTCCCAGACAGCTTTTGACGGATGCTTGTATGCCTCTGCGAGAAATGGGTAAATAGTTTGCACGTAGAACATGTGAGCTGTTTTGCTATTAGCGTCGGGTATGTCGGCTTTGCTCTTTCACCGTCATCAATCATATTCAATCAGTCATCAGTAGTGACACATTAATTGCACCCTCATATTTCAACCGACGGAACCCTCCAGTTCGGCGAATCAGCACCCCCGCCTGCCATCCGACCCAGCCATTATGCTCCATCAAACACACACTGAGCTCCGCCCACCGGGCAGAAGCACGACCGCCGACGTCCAGAGGTCACAGCACGACTGCCCATTAGACGTCCTGAGGTCACAGCACGACTGCCCATCGGACATCCAGAGATCAGCACGACTGCCCATCAGACGTCCAGAGATCATAGCACGACTGCCCATCAGACGTCCAGGGGTCACAGCACGACTGCCCATCAGACGTCCAGAGGTCACAGCACGACTACCCGGAGGCCAAAGCACGCGAGTGATGCGTCCTTATACGTCAGTCCAAATGCCCTCACTACGCAAATGAATTGCACCTACACGCCGAGTCGCGCCTCGCGTGATGGAAACAATAACCAGCCTGAGACGTTCCATAGAATGACTAAAATCCTAGGATTCCCTGCCCAAAACAGGTCATGTGAGGTGAAGTCGAATCGGGTCGGACCTGCTCTTTTCAGATCCGCTGAAGATGGGTGGGGTCACATCATGTCAGACCAGTACTGTCTCCACCTGGTTCGGGTGTTACCAGATCACATCGGGTCAGCTCGGGGTCCGGTCACGCGAGGTCAAACCTGACCAGGTCGCTTCGGGTCCGCCCAAAGTCCGCTCGGGTCGGGTCGGGGTGTCGTCAACACATCCCGCGTCGCATCGGGTCGGGGCGGGCTGGCTGGGCTCTGTCGGAACCGCGACCGGTCAGGGCGCGAAGTGAGCGGCCCCGCACCGTCCACGCAGAACCGGGACTTCCAGCCCGAGAGTGAAAGGTTGTCCGTCGTGGCGGCGGACGTCCATGCTCTGTTCGGGCTCCACGTCTGAACGTCTGGACTCGTCTGGACCGACTGGCGCCTGACGCGTACCGACAGCTGTTCTCTTGACCTCCAACGGCGCCGCGAAAAAACGGGACAAGACTTGTCTTCGCAACCAGAGGCTTCATGTCCGCACGCCAAATGACGTCTTTTAGCGCGATATCGGCATCCTGTTTATGTAAACACATCCTTCGTTAAACCAACCGTTTACAAAACTGTGTTTACATGACGGAGGGATGACTCGTCATACTGTGCTCAACGGCAGAACGTAATCCTTCCCTGGCCGCTGGTTTCCTGCCAAACAAAACAAACACACTGCCCGCGCGACACGGACCACGGGACCAGCCCACACACCCCGAGCGGCGCCCCCGCTGCAGGGGGCTCCGTGGCATCCAGACGTGCCGATCGGTGCGTTACGTTCGGACCCTGTGACAGCGCCGGCTTATCTTGCCGCCCGGTCCGGACACGGGCACTGAGTGACCTCCACGGCCGAAGATCGACATCGCGTGACGCAGCGTCCGTCACGTGACACGTGCGCCGTGCAAGCGTGCCACCGAGTCGGTCCTGGTGTCACGAGCACGGAGTAGCGCGGGTCGGCGAGAGCCCCGTGTCATGCGATGACACGCCGGGCGGCACGCTTCATATCGGGGGTAGCCACGTGACGCGCGGCGGATAATTGCACCGGACCATTGGCGGCTGGTGGATGAACCGCGGCGCTGTTGATTCGGTGGATAGCGTATCTCGGAATGGGTTTTAATTTCCGAGCCGATCGATCGTGACGTTGCAGATCGGTGAGCAATGCAACGTCCTTTAAAACCAAGCGGAGCAAAGTTCGACATGCACAGGGCACTGTCTTCGGAAGGAAACGCTTCACCGGAAGGAACTAGGTGTCTAAATGAGACAATATTGATGTGACACCCGTGGGCACGCCACTCATCCCACCTACCTTCCTCGGCGACGGAGGACTCGCGAAAACAGCGGGCTCATCTGCGGCTTCGTGCCCATCTTGGGACGGCCGAGCTGCAAGTACAGTTAAAAGCTGCAGCGCGTAAGAGCCCGAACGCCACCGGCCTGCACTTTCCTCCCTGTCCACGACCGGCGCGGGATGCGCTCCGGGCGTGTTTTCGCGTCAGCGGGGCGATCGAGGCCCTATCGTCCAGAGGTCGCGGTCACCAGCACACGTTTCGAGGCCTCGGACGGCCGGCCGGCCGGCTCCTACGAGACCTCTCGCTGACGAGCGACGGATGCCGCCTCGACCCGACCTCCCCTGCGACTACCTGCCGCCCAGCGAGCCCCGGCTGCGCTCACGTCGTAGGTTTACTAGTGCGCATCGCGTGGGCAGCCGGCAAGCCAAGTCAAGGCCGACGAAAGGCACAGGCGGTCCGACGGTGATAGGGGGGAGGGCACCACTGGGCAGCTTCTGGAGGTGGCAGGGGTCGTTGGACCGCTGCACTTCCCGTGTGAGATGTGGCTTTCCAATCGGGAGTAACTGCTGCTGGCCAGTAGGCGTCCCACAGGCTGGTCATTGGGACCACACGTTGCCAGCGACACGGGGTCGGAGGGCGTGTCGCGCACGTAAAACAATCGCGCTGTGGTCCCTGCCGCGATGTGTCAGGATGACGCCCTCTGAGACGCCCTCTGGCGCCTCTGAGACGCCCTCCGACGCCCTCGTGAGGACGCCCTTTTGAGACGCCCTGGGGTAAATGAAGTGCGTCTCGGAGGACTGAAGGTGTTTCACAGACCCGGAGATGCGTCTGGGGTGCCTAACGGGACACCGCGGACCTGAGCAGGCACCCGTCAGATTTGGTGACATTCTCAGACTGCGTAATGTGCCACTGGCCTAAGAATATCGGCGATGTGAGATGTGAAATAAGTTCCTCCAGGCCTGTAAACACATTCCTCAGACCTGACGAGACCGAAGGACTGCAGGGGCGCTCCCGAGGGATGAAAGGGCGCCTCTTTTGAACGGGTGCACCAGAGGGCGGAAAGGTCTGGGTATGTGAGGGGTTTGCAACAAAGCGCACGCGCTACGATCTACATTTTTATCAAATTGCTTCCCCAGCAGGGACAATATGAAAGGACATGAGGGAAATATCGTAGACCTTGGATCCGTTAGATGTGAATCCGAGATCCTGATGCATCCAAGGCCATTTGTTTTAAATTTGGGCGAAGTGTCCTCTGGGACCCTGGATATGGTGAAAATTCTGGTGGAAGATGCTCTAGAATCCAGTATGCTTTTTTAAAATCTTGTCAAGGCATTAACTGGAATCCTCGACCTGCTTTGAAATTAAGTAACAGGATTTTCTTGAATCTTGGACCTTTTTGAAATTTTTACAACAGATTTTGTGATCTAGGATTTTCGAAGATTATGTCAGAAAATAATTTTGAATGTTGCTAACTTTAAATTTTGCTACAGGATCTTCCAGGATTCATTTGTACAGTAATGCTACGTGTTTTTGATAGGTAAAAAGGTCAAATCGAATGGCTGGAGGGGGTAATATAATTTGAGTCTCAACTCAACGCACTGCGATAAAGGCAGTAAATGCAATTTCTTTCCCCTGGCTATTGGCATTCAGTCCACCTTGTTGGCAATCAAGCCATATGTCATAAGAGTACGCATATGTGCGAGATCAACCTTCAGTGTTGTGTGATACAACTAGTGCTATGGCATGCGCACTTTGCCAGTGATCCATTGTTCTTCATGAGTGCTGGTTACTATCACTCCATCCTGTTCTTTAAATGTTACTGCCCCAGCTCAAACATATACCATCTTCATTGAGAACAAATTTCCTTATTTGCTACATTCGATCTCGTGCTTACATAACTATCTTTGTGCCTCCCTGTTAATAATCAGCATCAGAACCATGGTCAGACCACTTGGTACACAGTACTGCAATTTTAATGTCATGAGGATGCGGTTGCCACATTCGTAGCATTGGTGAAAGTTATAATATGGTGGCAGCGTAGCAGGGGGACAAAAATATGTTTTGCCTCCTCCCCCCAACTCAATTTTGGTGTACCCCTTTTTAATTCAAAGACCAGGGGTGGAGTTTCCTATTCAGCTGGGAGGTTTCAGGCCCCTCCCCAACTTGGGCTTCAGCCCCCAACTGTGGGAAGAAAGTGAACAAAATCCGGGAGAATCCGGTTTGTTGACAGCTTCTGGCGACAGGTTGGGCCATTTTTCACCGTTCACCGCCACCTCCCCCAATCATTTGGCGAAGCTTCGCCCCTGTTAAAGCCATTGCAGCTACCCGTAGAGCACCAAAGTTCAGATCAAGGAGGCTCCCACAACTGAGGTAGAGGGTTAAGGATCGGGTTGAGAAGACCCTTACCCTGTCAAGAGACCCACTTTTTTGATCATGAATGTACTTTTATGAATAGGATTGTTTGAGCCAATGCTCTGAATCATCTGACTGACGCTCTACATCGGAAGGCCCAATTCAAGGGAGTCCCCGTTCTGGGCTAGGAGGTACCCTCTTTATCCGGGAGGTCCCATTTCTGGAACAGGCGACCCCTTCCATGCATGACATGACGGCGGTTCCGGATCGGTATACTCTGTTTTTGGACAGGAAGGCTCCTCGGCTAGACTCGGAGACCCCCTCTGTTAATCTGTTCTGAATTAGGAGGTCACTCTTTGCATTCTGGAACAGAAGATCCTACTTTAGATTAGCGAGACCCTTTGCTGGAAGATTGGAAGATCCAAATTTTGAAATGTTGTGACTGTTGACAAGTTTTACTTTGATATGATATATATAACAGTCATGCCCCCAGTGCCCTTCCACTTGAATACGACACCGCGGAGGAAGCCCTCCTGTAGCAGGCCCCATGTAAAATCCTTCTCCCAACACAAAATCCGTAGCACTGCCCCTGAGCAACAGTACATCATAAAGAAGATATGTCATGTCATAACATAAGTGCTTAGCAGCGAGCTTAACAATGAAGCACAACAACACATTTGTGACAATGAATGCCTGATGGGTACTGCTAAAGGGATTGTCACACCATTGGAGCACGTTTCAAATACATGCTCTGATGAGCCTTTGATGACTTCTTTCTTTTTTAAGTGGCCCCAGATGGCATCCCGTGTGTGGACGATACTGGCGCATGGGCGCATAATGACGTCCGTCCGTATAAAGTTCACCATCGTTTCGGGTTCTTGTTGCACCTGTTGGCGTATTTTGGGGCGGGCTGCGTCATTTTTCACTGCTTCTCCCTCCCCTAACTAATTTTGCGAACTCTGCGGATGCATTGATAGTACCCAAGCAGTGCAGCAAAACAATGCTTTGTTTTATACTAATATGTCTCACTGGTACCAATGCAGTGTGCAATACCTGCTTATATCTTGTGTTCTACACCCACTTACAGATTGTGTTTTTATTGAACTCTCGGCCGACCCGTAGGTTGGATTCTGCCCCGGGCCAGCAACAGGCTGGTGGGGGCGGGGACCCACTTGGCCGCGGTGGTCCCGCGTCTGCGGCCAGCCCGGCTGGTCGATAGAGCGGGTCGAGATGGGCGCGTTATTATCCTCATTGTCCGCAGGCACTGCGCCCGCCACGTAGCTCGGCCGTTATCGGCCTGGCTCGTGCCGCGGCTACGTGCTGCTGGGCGAGAACTCTGCTGCGAGGGGGCGGCAGCAGTGGCTCCATGCATCCTAGTCCGCGCAAGGCGTGAAGTTCGTTCTCCAGACTAGGCTGTATGGACAACTGATCATGAGAATATCCGAAAATCTCTCAACACACTGCCAGAGCTACCAATACTTTTATGAAAATGAAGTCAATCGGTGACAGTATAACACAGAGGTCGGTAGACCTGCAGGCGCCCAGTACATGGGAAAGGATGGACGTTGAAAAAGTATATAGCACATACAGTTCTGTGCGGGGTCGGATTTGGCCGGCCCAGCGGACCGGCAACCGACACCATGAGTCCGAGTCTTCCACAGAGAGCCGCTTCATCTAGCACCCCTGCATCCGACATAATGTTTGAAGATGTCAACATAAATAAAGCATTCCCACAAGACTATATCACACACACGCACGCACGCACGCACCCACGCACGCATATATATATATATATATATATATATATATATATATATATATATATATATATATATATATATATAATGCCCGGTTCGCCACAGACGCTAGCACACCACCTTTGCTATGACAAAACACAAAACATCGCAGCTCCGAGCCGGCCATGAGGCAAGCATTTATCCAGACTGAAGCGCCTCTCTGTATATATATATATATATATATATATATATATATATATATAATCAAACTTGCATAATCAGCTGATGCCAGACTGCCAGAAGGCGTGACCAAGAAATGGAGACCGCAGTGCTGACATTGCCCTGCGTCATATAATCGTGACGAGATACCAGGCTGTTGACTATGATAAGGTCGAGGCAAGAGAGGTTCGGAGCAAATTTCTTTGTTCTCAAGGCGGACTGTTCGGGGTCTCACCAAGTAGCATCGGCCACATGATAAATTGCATTTCAGCGATTTTGTTGTTGCTCAGTTAGTGATTGCAGTTTAGCGATTAAAATACAATTCAACAATATTTGCCACATGATTTGATTCGCATTCTTAAATGCACAGCATGACACATAATGCAAGAATCAGCCCCACTTGAGGCCACGTTGTGAGCTAGCGCGAGCGAGCTAAGCGACATCTACTGCGACTGAGCAAGCCGTGATCAGAGACACCTATTTCCACATGCTCGGCTGGCGAACAGCCTGAGGCAGGTGCAAGAGGACGCGGATAGTAGTCCTCGTTTCCGACGACATATTTTCATCACTGCTTCCCTTGGCCTTAGTTTCTTAACCTACCCGTAACTATTCCATTTCCCAACCTTTGACGCCTACACCCTACCCCGCAAGCTCTGTTTCCTTGCACCTACTCGCCCCAGTCCTCACTCTAAAGAGAACGCTGTCACTATCAACACTTGCCGAGTGAGGGGACCATGTCCCCTGGGGGGGGGGGACATAC